CGGTCCCTGTGCTTTGCTAAGCTTGTTCTAAGTAGGTGCGCTAGACCACTGAGCCATCTCCCCAGCCCCGGAACTATATTCTAGACTCATATCAGAGTGCTCTTTTACAAGTTCCCTAATCTGTTACATTCAATTGAAGACTCACAACTTCAACTTCCTCCAACCTCACTTAGCTGCTAGTCATCTGTGCTCCAAGGATATCCGGGTATCAAATATATTTATCACCAACCCTGACAATATTGATAGGCTTGACTCTTCCTAAGGTTATAAATGCAGAATTGTCTTTCATTACCGAATCCCCAGTGTCCAGCGTCCAGCAGGCACTCAAATGTTTAAATGAAAGAATGCAACAGATAATCAGTGGTTTGTGAGGGAATTCTATCTATGTAGAATCACATTTACAATAGGTTTACAATAAACTACTATGACTGAGTTTTTTTAAAGACTATAACTTTTCATAAATTTTAGTTTTAATCCCTTATCTGTTTGCAAAATATACTTACAGGACAAACTGATCTGCTATTCACCACAAACTGTAATAAGACAAGTCTCTAAGAAATTAACTGGAGTCAATAACTCAGTGCATACCCAGTTCACAAGAATGTGACCAATCTGCTCAACTGTTCCATCAGTCTTAGTTGCTTCTCCTATTCTTGCCAACAAATCTAAAGTGGAAAAAAGCAGAAAGAAAAACAGGTTTATTTATAAAATTTATAAAATAGGTCAACATGTTATTAGTTTGGATTTAAAATTGTGTTATTGCAGTTCAGTTAAACAGCATATCTAACCTTCATGCAGAGGTATGTAAGCATCCAAATCACCAAATATATGTGTGAGTTCCTCTTCTGACATAATAGACAACTTTAACATGGGGTCGTGGTAGGCCTAATCAGAAGGACAGAAATCAATCACGCAAAGAAAATATGATGAGAAATATGAAACTTAAAGCACTTGACAAACTATGCTAACCTTAGCATAGATTTAATAAAAGAAATTTTTTTGATACTCATATTTGCAGAAATGTGTCTACACTTCATCTAAAGCACCTATTTCCCAGTAGATACTTTCTATTTTCCTATTTTAAATGTTAGAAACTTATCCTTTAGAATTTGTAAAATGTAATCTTTATTTATTTATTATTTTATTTTTTTGGCGGAACCGGGGATTGAACTCAGACCCTTGCGCTTGCCAGAGAAGCGCTTATTCTAATGAGCCATCTCCCTGGCAATTGTAATCTTTAAAAACTAGGGCATCTGATAAAAAATTATTTATTCACCTTTCTTGCAAGCTTGAGATCTTCAATTAAATCCTGTTCACCTCGGGACATTTCATATATCGCCTAAAAAATATCCAGCAGATATAAGAAGTCATTCTTTCAGAAAGGAAAATTATGTACAACTGATATTTACATTATTTAATTGCTTTGAGCAGCTCTTTTAAAAGTGATTTAACCTGAGAACTAATTCAGAATAGGATCTCTAGTAAGTGGTTGCCAAGTTTTATACTTCTACTCATCAGAGGTGTTTGAGGACCACCGCCCATCACAAAGCATTGCTCATCATGTTATGAGTGGTTGCTTATATACAAAAATGGAAGCTAATTTTTCTACAATAAATTAGTCAGTCTTCTGGAACCCATTATTTAAAAACAGGGGTCTTGGAACTTGAAACTGATGCTAGCATACCTCCTGACGTTTGATTTCTCTGGTGGTTAAAGACTCTTTCATACTGATGTCTAACATCTCTGACCATAGCACGCTGCTTCTTCTTTTGGCAGGTGTTGGGACCGTTGATCTGCTAGATGACTTTTGGGCAGAGGCAGGGGATCTGTGGTCACCACGAAGGGTAAATGACTTTAAGAGGTGAGCAAAAGAGAAAATGAGAATTGGAGGCTACAGAGTTTTTTTTTTGTTTGTTTGTTTTGTTTTAATTTTTAGTGAAGAATTTAAAAACAAAGTCCTGAGAATTTTTCAATGTTTTAAAGTCTTTACTTGTATTTAATTATATTTCTATCATTTAAAAATATTTATCAGCCAAAAATTACTTTTGGGGAATAACAGCTACTTAAGACTACCTTTTGATATATGATCTAAATTGGTGTAATAAGAGTATACAAACATCATTCACATAATAATATTCCTTACCAGTATACTCTTTAAAAAAAAAAAAGTTTAAGTATAATAATGTAGACAGGGTTGTATAGTTTAAACAATATAATAAATTTCAGATTTATATTAAAAAGTTCCTTGACTACATTACTTTGCCTCCCCCCACTTCATTACCTGTATTGTTTGACCAAAACGTCTGACTGCTCCATTTCTTACAGGAGAGATTAAGTTTGCCAAGGATGTGACCCGAGCCAGAGGTCGTACTCTTTTATTGCTTGGTTCCTGTAAAAACAAAACCAAATTACATTAAATGTGTTTATATATAATGATTTCATGCAAGTACAGGCAAAGTTGAGCTCCTTTCATAACTGTTTGTACACCGTAAGATACAGAAACATGGAATTCTAATAATGAATGTTTTTCACAGTTAAGTTAGAACATCACTAAACAAGTTATTAAAAATATACTATCACTTTCAGAACATAACAAGTATTGCCACTGGAAAGGAAAAAAAGTATTAAAATAAAGAAATTAAATTCTACACAACTTTTAATTTCAATGTGGAAAACAACCTTTTAAAAAAGCCTTATTATGATAAGACATTTCAAATCTACATGAAGTAGAGTATAATGGATCCCAGGTATCAGTCAGCTTCAACAGGGTGTGCTTTTTGTCCCTTGTATACTTTAAAGCAAACCCTAGATATTATATAATTTCACTGTTAACTACCTCATTTAGAGAATATCTTTTAAACTAGCATGTATAACACTGGATGGATAAAACAGTGTTCATGCCAAGGCAGGGGAGTGATTAACAGGGCTAAAATCAGAACTTTTCTTATAAAGTTGTGAAGATTAAAAAAACAGAAGAAACATTTTTTTTAAAAATTCTTTGACATGAATAAAGTCATATAAAAAGGAGGTGAAAAAGCCACTTCAAATAACTGAATAGGGAGAAAAAGTTAAAAATGTTTAGAAAGAAACTTAAATGACCTGAGTATCCCCCCAAAGCAATTAGACTTATCGAATCTCCTAAACATGTGTATCAGAAAGGAATGTGAACTGCTGAAGAGGCTTGTAGATAAAGAGAATTCAGAACTCTGAAGGCTTTAAGAAACAGATTGTAGAATACTCCTCCCATGCCCCAAATAATTAACTGCAAAGCAAACTTTGGATATAAAGCCATTACTGTGCACATGTTAAATGAAAAAGAAACCTTTGAAATATGTAGTAAAATAGCACACACTGCACACTGGAGGACATGTGTGAGTGAATGCCTTTACCTCACACATCTGTGCAGACTGAGTGACACATGGGTGTGCAGAGGCCAGCACTAGGCATTCCTTTCCATTTAGTAAAGACAGTACAAAGAGTCTCCTGTTTGAATGGCGATAGAATTACCTCACAAAGTAAGATATGCCAACATTAACTTGAAACAAAGCAGTTGTCAAAAAGTTCTGTTCTGCTTTTTTGGAAACAAAGGTTAGGTCCTTGTCCTTATTTAAAATGTAACAAATCTAACTTTCTAGTAAATCACAAACTATTTAATTTCAAAGTAAAAGTCTTTGGAAAGATACTCTTCTTTCCAGTGAACCTCAAAGGAGAAATCAGTAATTAAGTTTAGAGAAAAACAAATTTTTGGCATTATTTATTACATAACATAAAATTAATGACAAAAATTCTTATTGTTACAGGACTAGTACATAACTATTAAGTCCCTAGTAATTAAAATTATGTGATATTTAAAAAGAAAACTGCAAACTTTAGATGATTTAATGTAAATATATCTGAAGCATGTTTCTGAAACTAGTATGGATTTCATTTACCCAGTCTCTTTAGGGGTAGCAGGATACTATCATAAGCATAGCTAGTGTTAAATATTTCCTTTAAGAACAACTACACTCAAAAAAAAAAAAAAGAACAACTACACTCTTCTTCACAATGGATATATTACTCTTTACAGTTCACCAAGTCTAAAGTGTTTGGTAAAAAGGAACAGTGTTAAGTCAGAAATTATGTGTGGGGGAAGGGAGACAGGAAGATATTGCTACTCATTTTGTACATACTTTCAGGGACCCATAATAATGTTCCTGCCTTACTAAAAGGACACATGTGAAGAATGTTTGGCACATACAGAACAAACTCTTAGCTTATATATATTTCAAAAGAATAAAATGAAAAACTTTAACCAATTTTTTTTGGTGGAAAAGTGGTAAAGATTAGGCAATCGTGGGTCATCTAAAAGGGAGAGAAACAAATCTCTTTTGTAATATAGATTAAGATTTGGCCCATGTGAACTTTAAAAGTAGTTTTCTTTACAAGTCCAAGTGAATCATTTTAATGATTTGAACTGGTTATTAAGAATCTAAACATCTGCAGTCACAAAACATTCCTGAGATTGTGTTTTGGGAGAACTGGTAGTGTACCCACATTTACTTCTCTCCGTAGATAGGACACAAGTAGAATATTTGGAGGTAATGAAAGAAAATAGCAGGACTACAGGTTATTTACTAGCCCCAGTAGTTAAGGCTCATATAATGGGAATTGTGTTATATTTATTTTTGAGCGCTGGCAGCATTAACATGGTGAACATAAGAAACTTAACAGATGTGCATACTGAAACTATACACTGCTCAAAAAGCATACAAAAGAATATCTATAAAGCTCATGTGCTCAAGGAAGTTTCCACTGTAGGCAACCTTTCACCAAGGCTAAAGTTCACTTGGAGGGGGAAAAAACTCAGGGCTCTCAATCTGAGTTGATATTGTTTATTTAGGTTAATTTTTAATCAGATCATGTATCCAAAGAGGCAGTCACATGTATTAACACAGGAAATCTGCCTTCACATCAGGCTTTTATGCACAACATGAACAATCTTGTGAATTTAGCTTTCTTTAAAGTTTCTTTTCTTACCTAATGATTCTACTCTTAGAGGCATTCTTTAAAATGGTCTTTTCTATAGTTAGTCTACTCTTGACACTTAAGTCGGTATGTGTCTTGGTTTATTTAAGTCATTGGATAATCTCTCTTAACCTGACAAAAACTTTAAAATTAGAATAAAAATATATTTTTAAAAAGATAAAAATGAGTTATGATATGGGATTTCTTCCCTTCCTTAGACTATTCAAATTATTAAGGTTATGTTGACAGTCTAAAGCTCTGACAACACTCCTGGTTTTAATCTTTGAAATAAAAGTATGCCAAAAACACTGCCCATATGTGATACTAGAAAAAAGCCCCCCACTCCAGGCCTCAAGAACGGCTACTCTACTACTAAGCTTCACCCTATTCCTAAGGTTAGTTTTGGATGTCCTAAAAAGTTTAAAGGATGAAGTTAATTAGTTTTAGTATTTACACTGATAACAATGTAAGGAAAGAACATGCTTATATATTTGAGAAAACTGAAACACATAAGCAAAGCCCAAATAATCAGAAACTAAAAACCAAAGCCAAAGCAAATGTACCTCCTAAAAATGGTAGCTACTTTAACTCCCAAAGTGTATGTTGGATATACACCTCAACTGGGATATCCAGTAAAGTGTACATATGCAAAATGTGCACTCATATGTAAGTTTTGACTTATGTATATAGCCATCAACCACCATCACATCAACAGGTATAGTTAGTTGAATATAGGAACTATTTCTATCACATAAATGATAATGTAGTAAATATCAAGAGTACACACAATGCAGTTGTACTATATATGCCATATTATAAAAATCAGTTGTCAAGATCATTTAACATAAAATAGTTTGAATTTGATAAATACTTGAGAAAGCCAAAATGGCTTCAGACAATTAGCAGAGGGTTAGAATAATGTTTCATTGGTTTAAATATTTTAGCACATACTTTCTGCAGAAAAAAAATGGTATACAATGAACTTACTAGTTATGGAAAGAAAAACAAGCATACCACATCAGACAGCAATTTAATAGCCATTTGTTCCCCAATTAACTTGGAGATTTTTATTTTTCCTTTTATTGTTAAAGTAGTTCCTAAGATTTGTTAACATAAATATATAAATTCAAATTAAAACACACACACACACACACACACACACACACACACTAAGCCATATTAGGCATTCACATTAAAACAGCATATTAAATATCTCAAATATGACACAAATAGAGAAACACATTTTAAACTTCCTTACATGTAAGTTATGTATATTCAAATTACTTTACGTATAACCTTATTTACTTAAATTTAGACCACAGTTCCTTAACACAGTTCAAACTTTCATATAAATCAAAACATACACTTCAAGTTTCAATAAATTTCAAATTATAATTAATAAATTGCTACAACTCTTTAAAAAAGTTAGAAAACATTCCTTTGGGCTATTCTCTTCATCTTACCTCCTGTTCTCTGAAGGACTGGTTATTAACATCTAGGACTCGAATGGTCCTTTTAATAGGTAGGAGACCTGCAGCCTCATCATGCGCCACCATGCTTTACCAAGTATCCCTTCCAACCTTTCGAATTAATCCACACGCGAGAGTCAGCGCTGCAAGGAAGCACCGCTGAGGTGCATGGGCTTCTCTTCGTAGAGCTCAGCCTCCCCAGGCAGCCATGTGCCCATGCCTCCCACTACAGGCGGAGCTGACCGCTTCTGAGAGCTTAGCAAACAGACACGCAGACCATAGGGATCCGGGGGCGGGGAAGCAGAGGGGCGGGGAAGCAGCCGGCAGGGGCAGGCCCAATACCACGTAATGCTATCTGACAGCAGGACACACCTAGGCTTTTCAGCTTGATCTGTGCAAGAGAAAACTATCAATAGGCTTAGAATTTCTACAGGAAGAGGTCACTGTGAAAAATACTAGATTACTATCTCCCCAAGATTTAAAAAAGCATTCTCAAAGACAACTAAGTTACCTACTGTGGCACTTAAAGTCACAGACAGGGACATGTTTTTAAAAATTGATACTGTCCTGGACAGTTCAATAAAGCAACTTTATTTTAAATGTCTTTATTTTTGTGATATTGGGGATTGAACCTAGGCCCTTATACTTTTTTATTTGCGATTGGATCTCACCCACCCATGCCACTAAATTTCTCCAGCTAGGCTCAAATTTGCCAATCATCCCAGAATGCTAGGATTATAGATGAGTGCCACCAGGCTGGGCTTCTGTATGTTTTACAACTTAAAATCTGCATGCTAGATGTTTTATAACATAAAAGGTGATTTATATTCTAAAAATGTGTAACCAACTCTTAAACTAAATTAACTGACCTTAATACTATTCAGATAAGGTTAAAAGACAATATGTCATATAG